TAGTACTTCAGGCTTTCCTAGCGGGAAAACTGTGGTCAGTACAGTATATGCTGTGATCGAGTCGGTAAGGTCCGATCTGAAAGTACTACCTTATCAGGTAAGACTGACTAACTCGCTGTACTGCATGAGCACGTTAATAGAAAGAGACGCCCGATGTCAGAAGGATATACTGTGAGAGTAAAAGTCTAGACGCTACTAGAGATTGTTCACGTTTTAGATAGGGCAGCTCTTATAGGAACGGATGATGAACTAGTTGTTGAGCTCGACGAACTTCGGTTCTGAAACAGAGACAAACAAAGGAGATGATGACGAGGAATACCAATGCAGGGTATCTAGCTTTGCCCCAACAACTGATGAGCTGGGTGCATTCCAGAAGCGTGACTTTGTTATTCTAAGGAGAATTGGTAAACAGACCAAGGGTTGTCGGCTCGGACAGAGCCAAATCTACACTGGAATCAGGTTTACATCTAATGGGACAGATAACTTAATGTTGTGACAAGCAAAAAAGTCTAATTAAAGGTAGGTATATGCCCATACAAGGCACCAAATTCACAGACGATGCAAGATATATAATCCACTATCTTGGTCCAATCAGAAAAAAAATCAGCGATACGATATTGTCATGAACCCAAGGACAGCGGTAGTAGGCAAAGAAATCCCGGTGACTCTTTCCAGGGAAGAGATAAGAAACAAGGCCCGGCCACCTCCAGCACTGCCTCCACTCCAATCACTCGTAAAGCATGCCGAACAGCTTAGAGGATGGAGCCGAGAGCAACGCAAGGAAGGCCGACACCGACGAGGTTTCCATTCTGTACTCTGTTAGATGGTGAACGCTTTTCTAGCAAGACTGGATACTTACGGCTTGAGAAGGAGACTTCTGGCAGCAGGCAATGTTCTGCTTGCACTGCTGGTTGATGAGGTCCTGGACGCCAATGACGGCTGGGAGATGTCAGCTTCAAGGCTGCTCTTATTCACAGATTGGGAGAGGTAGAAGAACTCACCAGCAACATTGAGCTTGGAGCATTCATTAAAGAGACCGAGACCCTCACTACCGGATCCGGATCCGATGAGGTTGCTGAGCGCACCAGCCAGGATGCCCTTATCGATCTCGGTGCTGTCACCAGCGTAGGTGGCCTTGTTACAGCAAGAAAGTTGGGCCTGGTCACCGCACTTGTCGGAGGCCTGCTTGAGGGTCACCTCGTCGCGAACAGGGAACTTGACATGGCTGCTTCCCTTATCGTGGTGGCCATCGGGGCCCTGAGGCAGGGCCACGACAGAGGTGGCAAGAGCAACAACGGCAGCAGCGACAGAGAACTTCATTTTGACGGGTGGAAGGAAACTAGCAGAAAGCTGTTTGGGAGGATGATTAGAAGAGAGAGAATGAAAGACTGGATGGGCAAGGAAAGAAAGCCTTTTGCTTAGGTAAAGAGAGTACGGTTGTGATGAGGAACGGAATGGAGGAACTGCTGAGTACAGGGACCCTTATATAGACGTCCCCGGTGGTTTTGTTTTTTGGTTCCTCTCATATTCGTGCCGTACGCAGCATGCTCCGGGCTGGGTCTCATTGAGAGCCCTTGTGGAATGTATCAAGCAAGGAACGGGAACTCCTCCAGCTTCCTAGCTTCTCTCTCGCCCCCTTTCGAGCGCCCCGTGCCGGGACGAGAGACCCTGTTGGTATGGATCAGACTCTCTGAGAGTAACCTTCCCAGTCCGTGTCTCATTCCTCGCGCCGTCTCTGTGGATCCGTATGCAAGCGGCGGTGTTTTCGGCTGGGTTGCATTATAGCATGTCTTTACTCTTTTCGAAACGGAGTCAGTCTATAGTATTGGGTGCCATTAAGGCTGAAGAGCCCACTTATCCGTGCACGGCATGATCGAGTTTTAAGAGTAGAAAAGTAGCGATGTCGTTCATGACACAAGACGCATTCCGCTGTCATCTCGTGTGGAATGTGAAGTTGCTCTCCATCGTTTTCTTGGAGGTTAGCCGGCCGCCACATAAATGATGATCAAGGGTCCTGCTCGCATGCCCAGTCTGCAAGGGATCAGATCGGGGGCGTAATTTGGCTTTCCAGTTCCAAGACCAAGGTCCATGTGGGCACCTGGAAGCTTTCATCTCTTTCTATCCTTGGATAGGCAAGGGGGCAGCAAACTCCGGTACCACCCCCCTGCTGTCGGTAATTTCCCAGCCAGGGATCCAGAAAGTTAGAAATTTTCCATATCCACTCCGGATTTGATGACGGTCGTTAGGCAGACAGTATTTATCTCGTCGATCACTGGCACCTCAGACGAGAGCGGAGTCCTGATCTGGTCAGGACTCAGGTACTGCCTGGTTCGATGCAGAATCTTTCTTGTCTGGGATCAGCCACCGATAGCTTAGAATCGATGAACCGTCCTTCTGTACTTGAGCAGGCTGACCTGACCGTCATTTTTGGATCAGGGTAACACTGACTAGGAAGATGAGATTGTTTCTTATGTAGCATTGAACAGCCAAGATCACACCTGGAGACTTACTTGTGCCCAACTATGCATACTGCTATGCACGGTTCATCCCACTCTCCATTCATATATTCCTTTGTTTCATTTTGCTGTATTTTAGATAAAGCCGTTCTAGTAGTTGAAAGCTTTTCGTTCGCGTGTAGGGAAAGAACTTAGCTGTTTGCTTGGCATGGTGGGCAGTTATATATATACACCGTCAATGTAAATCTCAAGTCTACAACTCCTATACCCACCCAGGAAGACGCCTCCTCAATCAATCAACACATGCTGCTCCAATAGATTTCTCACCGTTAGAGAAGCTCCGGGGATTTTTGGGGATTCGGAGAGTTGGGGGGCTCGTTGGATTGCGGTGCCGTGTCGCCTTGTCCTTCCCAGGTACGATATATCAAGAGCCAAAGAAAAGATGAGATAGGGATTCTGCTTAGTACATGTGCCCTGGCTGTTGGGATTATTGGGGCTCATGGGGTGGTGTTGCAGGGGCTAGCCAGAGGATGTCTCCATGTAAGAGATGCCCAGGTGTTCACCAGGCAGACAACACTCAAGGCAGCCTGGAGAGGCTCCAGCTGTTGGTAGTACCTAGCTAGGTACACATCCATCCTACCACTGCTGCCCACCCATCCTCACAATTAGCTTACCTACAACTCTGGCCAGGAAAATAGACTCCCACCCCCGGCAAGGCCAGAACACACACGAATCCTAACCTCGCCAGAACAATGCCCACCTACACAGCCTACCGCGTCGCCGAAACAGGCCTCTCCCCACGCGACCATCACTACATTTTCATCGAAACCCACGAAGATGGCCCCCTCACCGGCCATCGCTTCCACGTCATCGGCAACATCCAGGAGGGGATGGCCTTCAACCACCGTGCCTGCATCAAGCCTGAAGACGAGCCGGTGTTCCTGACTAAGGAGAAACTCGGGGTTGTTAGAGTGCAGGATTATGAGAGCGGGCTGTTCTTGAGGGTCTGTGAGGAGGTAGAGGTGCCGAAGAAGCAGTTTGACGGACCGAGGCGGCTGTTTCCGAAGGAGAAGTTAAGACGCTGTCAGGAGTGGGCGGATGAGGCGGTGGAATTGCTGGTTGAAAGAGGGGTTCTGGTGAAGGAGGTGTAACTCCGCTGGCTGTATTCTGGACTTACTGTCGAAGTTGCTTCAGTGGAAAATGGTATTTTGAGTGATAAAATACAAGGTCGGCCATCACGACCACTTCTATAATGCAGCATGCCATAATAAATAAGACTGTACAACGCCGACCTATCGAGGTCCAACCCAAGGTATCTCAAACATTCAAGGAACAGTAGAATAAAACCGAGAAGCGTAAGAACGGACAAAGCTCCCCAGGGGAAACGTCAATCGCGTAGCCACGCCCTCCGTTTCTCCTCCTTCTTTTCTCTGCGCTTCTCCTTGAACATCTTCAGTTCCTTCTTGGTCAGCTTCTTCGCGCTCCGTTCCGCCCGCAGGCTCCTCCCGTCGTGGGAATTCGCTGCTGCATCCACGTCGAAGAACGCATACATTTGCCGCCGAGACTTATTCTCATCATTGTGATATTCCGGATTCTGTGACTCCGCCTGCCATCGCCCCGTGAACCGATTGAACGCACCGACCGCTTCGTACGCGGCAGGGTTCCCGGCACCTGCAGCATTCGCTTGCTCCTGCTGTTCGTACTGCTGCGCATATGGAGCTGTCGGGTCATAGTCGCCATGGATGGCGGGATTGTAGCCGCCTACTACAGGCGCAGTCTGTTCGCTCGGTTCCTGCGTACCCGGGGCTGGAGCCGGCGCAACCGCAGCTGCAGCTGCCGGTGCATCCGGCACCCGCGGGTTATCCCATTGGGAGACGCCCGTATAGCGGTTATAGAAATAGTATGCTTGTGCGTTGGCATCCCAGACCGGCTCCCAGCCATCGTCCTCGCCCGGCGGAGCTTCGATGGGGAGGGGCGGAGGGACTTCGTCTGGTAATGGCGGCGCATCTGATTCTTTTGCTTCCCCTTCTTCATCTGAATCCTCCTCTTTCTTTTCCCATGTGTCATCTTCCTCCTCTTGTCGCTGTGGTGTTGTGTTTTCCTCCTCTTCTTCCTCTTTTTCTGCATGGATCCTCACTGGGTCATTTTGTCCGCTTTCCGGGAGCGGAGAGGACGATCCAGGCGTTGCCTCTGTGGTATCCTTCGTAGGGCTGGCGGACATGGTAGAGATAGGTTAGTCAATAACGTTATTGTTGGTGTTATGACTGGAAAGGAAGCTCTCTGCAAGCTCGAGGCCTCTAGATGATGCGGAGGAAGCCGCCCAGGAAGATTATTGTTCCAGCAGGATCACCGTATGAACTGATTACTAATCAGCAATACATCGTGGTCGTGAACTCACATTTTGTTGAAAGCAATTCTGCTAAAAGCACACAAGGTTCATTTTATAAACTTGATATTTTGCGCAGGACCAAGCATGTACTATTATGTGTAACAGCAGTATAAAGTGACAATAAGAAAAGCCCTTGCAAAAGGGTTTAAAAAAAACGTCAGCGACCAGATTCGAACTGGCGCGGGCGAACCCAGTAGATTATCGATTTCCTGAAGCAGGAGGATTCGAATCTACCGCCTTAACCACTCGGCCACACTGACCTCGACTTAAAAATTGTTTTGACAGATTAGCTACTTAACGTACGAGGAAATAAGCTCGCGCTATATCCGCGAATTTCGACAAAGATGCCCGAGTGGGTAATTCTTATACCGATTACTGTAGGAATTTTAACCTGAGTATACCCATCGGACTTTCATCTTGGGTATCGTCACCTGGAAAAGAGAGTCATGCTTCTTGGAGTATACAATCCGTGGCGGCATCTGGACTTGCTTGGACTTGGCCCAGCTTTCACAGGAACAGCGCCAGCACCTTTATGAATCGAAAAATATATTTCAAACAAAGAGTCAACAATCAGCTTAAACTTCAAAACGTCCCCTAATTTAGGAACACCACCATGCAGCCGAATGACAATGACCTTATATAGTTCGGCAGCAGCAGCAGTAGTAGTACAGTAGTATGGCCCCGCGTTCTGCTGCCCTCCTTCATGGGTGCAAATTATAGGCGCGACCACTGCTCCCATTGGCCAGACTCATTAAAATTCACATGACCATCCACAAAGTTCTCTCATCGAGGCTCAAATTTTGATATATTGGCACAGCACGCCAACAGCTTTGATTAACTTCTTTTTGATTAATCTAGGTAAGTTGCCGATCTTGTTGCTGGATTTTTATAAGCAATATTCCCCTCCAAGGCTGCCTGTCGCTGTGGAAGCTCGTTCTCCGTCGGTCATCCGAACTTGGAAAAATGAAGGATACACCGACTGGACAATACATGTAGAAAATTTCAGAAGCAAGTATCTTCTTATTCTTGCTTGATTTATTTATTTTCCCCATCTGAAACACATTGTTTCTGTTCATTGCTTCTCAACATATTGGTACTTCCAATGCTGCCTCTATGGATGTTGCTTGCTTGTATCGGCCTAACCGGGTTTAAATATGTATGCAGTAGCACTGCTGCTGCGCATTCAGCCTTACCCTGGATTGCTTTTCACTAGCCTCAACAGAGCAGCGAGTAATGGAGCAGGCCAGTACTAACCAGCTCACAGATCCCCTGACTAAAGGTGAAGTCACCCACTTCAATTCAGACCATACCTATACGCCAAAACCACCGTCTCAATCACCCAAGAGGATATATACATACCACACAAGACCTCAAAATCAACCACTCAATCACCAGGAACACCTCCATTCATCCTGAACTCACCCTACCAAAAAGACAAAAGAAAAGAGAAATGCCCCCAATCACCCTCTCCCCCGACTCAATCGACGACCTCATTTACGACGCCCGCGCCGGCGACGTCCAAGCCCTGCAAGAAGACCTCTCGCAACTAAGCGTGCAACACAGCGTCCCGCAATCCGTGATCATTGCGTCCGCAATCGACGCCGCCCCCGAAGAAGAGGGCGGCAGCGGCTCATGTCTGTTGCATTTCCCCGCTGCCAATGGGAATACAGGTACCTGACCTTTTCCCCCTCCCCTGTGCCCCCAATCCCTGGGTCCTCTTTCTTTCCAACTCTTTCCAACCCTGGCTGGTTCTGGGGCATGTACAGTAGCAAGAACGCTAACGGATCTAGAAATCCTAACCCACCTCCTGACAATCCTCCTCTCTGCCCGCTCGTCATCAGAACTGAGTGAGCAGGATGTGCAGGCCGTGCTGAACCACCGCAACCACTCGGGCAACACGGCGCTGCACTGGGCGGCGCTGAACACGCATCTGGAGTGCGTGAAGGCGCTCGTGGAGGCCGGGGCGGACGTGTCGATTAAGAACGAGGCCGGGTTGGATGCGGTGTTTTTGGCGGAGCGGGCTGACTGGGGCACGCAGGAGGGTGAAGGGCAGGAGGAGGGCGCTGAGGAAGTCGAGATGGAAATTGGTGGCGAAGGCAAGGATGAGGGTGGTGATAAAGCTAAGGCTGGAGCTGGGCCAGTCACGAAGGCAAGACAGGTGGTTGAGTGGTTATTGGCGTCCGAGAAGGGTGGCGAGGAGGGTAGTGCTGCTGGTGAGGGAGAGAAAGAGGAGGGGAAATGATTGACTGATTGATTTACTATGTCTTACGCATTCGATGTTCTCCTATAGAAAAAAAAGTTCATATAGACTGTTGATGCATGATTGTCGTTTCTCGTTAGAGCTCTATTCTATGGCCATGCTAATTCTTTCGTCGTTTGTGTTGACCATCGGCTGAGAGAAGGGATGTTCCCTCTGTGTAGGAGTTTTCTGATCGTAGCCTCTGATCATTCTTGATTTCATGTGCCTTTGTATCCAACCCGACGCGGAATTGGCGGTCGCGCCAGGTGACGGTTTCCCCTCCCCAGATGGCCCAGAACCAGATTGGAAAGGCGAGCGTCTCTCTTCCCAGCCACGCAGCAAGCCAGTGACGAAATTTTCGCCGCGTAGTGCCCCGAGGGGCACGCACAAAGTTTGGAGTGTTGTCGTCCAGCTCAACTGTCTTTCCGGAATGCAGTGTAATGTATACTGTCCAGTCAATGAGGCACCAGGTGAAAATGCTGAGGCCAAAGAAGGAGAAGAACGTCGTCCATGTGGAGAGATCCACAGGGAGGCCGATTCCCTTGTCCCGAAGATACGCAGAGAGAGCCGTAGTAACTCCCCAGGCTCCGTACAATGAACATAGAATCGACTCTGTCCCCGGCTCGACTAGAGTCGCAAGCATCACGATGTATTTGCGAACGCGCAACCACCGCACCCGCCGTGCCATGTATGCTCGTATGCTCATATTTGCGATAGGCTGGAATGCAATGTCGCCATAAACGAGTGCATGCTTTCCTAAGCGCTTGCCTTGCTCTTTCTCTGACCGGACCTTGTTTTTCCACAGCAGATCGCCAATCAGGTGGTCCTCGCAGATATTTTCGGAGAAGTAGTCTATCCCTGGGTTACGGTGGCGGGTGTCATTCGGAGATGGTGCAGTAAGGTAGTCGAGATGAGAGCGGCGAAACATATTCGACTTCCCCACGATGCACGGCGCGACGAGGACCGTGTTGATAGCAGTGTACATTTTGGCATGAGAGGAAGCGAGGAACAATTCTTCCAGACGACCGCCTCCCATAGCCAGCACACCGCGTTGGCTCTTCACGCCGACGGCAGCTGTCCCATTTGCTCCGATCACGCGCTCCCCCTTCAAGCTGGCGGTACCAGTCACGTCCGCAGCAACAGGCAAATGGTGTACGAACTTGTACTCCTTGCCCGAATCCGAACCAAAGCCACATAGCTTGTCAACCATCCGCCCGCAAACGCCCTTCCCGACCCAGACATTGCAGTCCGCAATCCAGACAATATCACCTTTCGCCTCTCTGTACGCCCGACTCATGTTCCGGATCTTGGGATTCGGCCCCAAATCGTACGCGGGTTCATGCGCCGGTTGGAGCAACGGATCCTCTTCCTCAATGTAAATGCGCGCATCGACGTGCGGGAAGTCGGCGACCAGTTTCTCGAGCGTTGGAAACGCGGCATCGTTCCGCGAAGACACGCACAAGCACACCGTGAGTTTGTCGCGGGGGTATTCTTGACAAAAGCTTGAGAATAGACAGTCGTACAGGTGCGGTTCGAGGCCTTTAATGGGACGGATCACGGTGACATGGGGAGCGTCTGGTGCCGTGGCGGAGTGGGATTTCTGCGGCCGTCGGAGACAGTGTTTCCATCTGCGAGAGCCCATTAGCATAGTCCGGCGCGAAAGATAGTAATAACATAGAGCGGTACATTTTGTAATAACCCAGAGCACACACCGTCGTCACCGTAGAATACCAGATCAGACCTATCCACCCCAGCGCGACTGACCACTGGCACTCGCCATGACCAGTGGCCGATCCGGAAGCAAGGAGGTCCAAAAACGAGCGAAGCTTTATCATAGGCGTGCGTGACGAGGATGGGACATGCTATGATCTGGATAGAAATTGGGCAAGGGGGGAGAAGAAGCCGCTGAGCTTTTTGAGGAGCTGGGAGGGGAAGACAAGAGAAGGGGAAAGAAGACGCGGGTCAGTGGAAATTCGGCGGCATCTGGTACCTATTTTTGTACAGTTCCTTTTTCCCTGTACAAACGATAATGACGATCGTCTCAAAGCTAATGCGGGCGCCCGATGCGTTGTATAAAACTTCTGTTATACGTACTGTTGACCCATACGAATCTCGGATGCGACGGAATTGGTTTCGAGTGTTCGGTTCGAGGCTGACCCGCTTTGAGGCGTGAGGCGTGAGGCGTGAGGCTCAGATACTTGGAAATAATGTATTGCACCAGGAACCTGGCCCTAATGTAATCAAAGGAACCGTGGCTTAGACAAAGGGGGTCTGCAGCGTTACGCGAATAGCTACGTACCTTAGACGATGTAGTACTGGATCTCTGATCGCTGCCAATGGTTGCGATTTACTCGCTAGACAAGAGGGTATCTATCTTGGGCCCAAGATTTTCCATTGTGTATTACTAGTATATGCTATTGTACAGTCCCTGAATTCATTATTATCATTAGGTATCATAGAGCCACCGCTCAAGTCTTCTTTTTCTTTCGAATCAAGTTGGATTGCAGGACGTTCACTCCCGAGGTTTGGCTAGGGTCTGTAGACGCAGCAGGCGCTTTCTCTGAAGTTTCACCTTCTTCCTTTTTTCGTTTTCGAACCAAGACGGTATTAGCGAGTGTCGTTGGAGCTACTGATGAGGCTGTAGACTCCTCAGCAGTGCCCTTGCCCACAACTTGCTGGCCTATCCAGAGCTCGTCCGCAAGAGCTGCAACCTTGTTGTTGAATGCCTTGGTGCTCGCAAATGAAACCACCTCATTGAAGAAGTCTTGCTCGAGAAGAAAGTTGATCGCTGCTTTGTAGTCCTCCTCCCCCAGAACCGCATGTCCCCGTCCGGCCTGTGGCCAGTAGAATGCGCTTCCGTCGTTCGTGGGTTGAACCTTCGTGTGATCACTTGCCTGCGATGCTGATGGCTCTGTACGAGTTTCCAAACCCTTCAAAGACTGCTCATGGTCTGAACTTATTATTGATGCACCAGAAGCGGATGGCTGTGTATCCGGCCTTGGGAGGTCACTTGCCCCTGCC